CTATTCTAGAATAAAAGTTCTGTACAATTCACATAGGGTTACAAATCGAATATATAGATAAAACCCACAAATAAAATTACTAAATTACCCATGTACCGTATCGTGGGGTGTTACTCCCGCACCCCCAACACACTTAACAAAAGTCCCCCTATTGGACAAATGTTTCCACTCAGGAGCGAGCGCATTGGCTCGCTCCATTCTGCTCCAGCATCTCTGGTATATGAGCCATATCTAACAAGTTGTCTTTAAATCACAATAAGTCGGATTGAGATCACTTCAATTAGATGTGAGCTGGCAAAAAAGTGATCAAAATTGATCCATGATTCAATTCCGAGCCCTTGGATTAGCTCTGGACAGTTGACAATCTTATCCACAAGTTTGTTGAATAGTTCATAGCAATTAATTTACTGAAATTAGAAAAAAATTTTCCCTTCCTTCAATGATCTTTGCAGCAACTGAAGGCAACATGTTTGGGATTCTGCGCATGGTGAATTGCCAAGGCTGGCAAATATGTAGCTGCGGCTTTTTTGGATCATTGCTTGTTGCTTTTCCACCCCTGAATTATGGCCAATAGTTTGGGCAAATTTAGTGAACATCTGCAATATTGTTTCCTAGTGATTCATATATCATTTGTTGTTTTTTAAGTGCAATTGCTGCGATATTGCTTATGTACTTTTATAGTTTTGTTAGTTTTTTAATTGTAGCCATTGAAGACTTTATAAATTGAGGCATCTTTGGGTGGCAAATTTATTAGATAATTGAATAAGCCTTATCAAGCCTTCAAACTATCAAACTTTAAAATAAGATTTTAATAAAATGAGCCACTAAACAAACAAGATTTTAAGGAACATAAACAAGTAGCATGTGTTTATGAGTAAAAGTAAATTAATAAAGAAAAATTATGCTCCTACATAATCACATGTTAATAAATTTACAACTTACTAGCATATTACTGAGCGTTTGTTGAGCTTTTTAATAGGCTTGTTCATAAGCTTAAAATCATATTATTTATAATCATAAATGAATCAATTAGGCAATAAGGAGACACCTTGTTATAATTTGAAGCTCCGAAATGAATTTCTATTTTAGATGTTGAAGGCATTTAATTTAAAAAGATTTCTTGGATGCCTGTGTTGCCATGAGATATTGATTTTTGGTAGGAGGCTGCACGAAAGGAGAATTTTTTTTTCGACAGCATATTCAGTTGGAATTGAAGTATTTTATTTAAGCTAGAATTAAATTCATTCTTCGTATAGGCTATAGAATACTATATGAAAAACCAAGAAATTGCAAATTTTTGCCCTGCAGGTGGAACCAGTTAGGGTTGAGAATCTTTCTGGAATGCCACAGTCAGGCTTGAGAGGCAGTAGCTGGTGAGCAACTGGGTTGCTTAATTTGGCATGGCTGTAATGGATGTAGGTGGTCAATTTCCACAATAATTTATGTGAATGAGTAAGTATTGACCTTTGAAAGTTGTTCAAACTTATATCTTCTCTAAGTTTAGCTATAGACAAACTCTTTGTTTTGCAGGGTGAGAAACAGAGCAATTTTTGCATTGGTGGTTTTTGATCAGCTTCAGAATCTTCACGGTTTGCGCCGTTTAATAGCAGACTTTTTCTTTTTGGGCCACCAGCAAGGTGCTACCTTTCATTTGTCCAGTGCTTAAGATTTTATTGACAAATTATACCCGAAATTTCTATCATATTCTTTTAACTTTTTTTGAAAAGGATGCATTGTGAAACAGACATTATTATTTGATTCTTTACTTCAAAGTGTAGTATGGTTTTAGCTGGTCAAGGCTTTTTCAGTTTATTTTTTCCATCTTTTTGAGAATGATTACAATATTTGTTTTCCATATTTCAATTTCAAGTAACACCTCTATTTTTGAACATATTTTGCTTAGTGTGTGATACAATTGTAGAATCATCGGTTTGCTGCTGCAAATTTCATATCATATGCACACGTACAGACAGATAAAGGTTAGATCACAAGGAGGACTTTTGTTATAATGAATGAATCGGCATATACCATAATTTAATAGCCATCCGTTAGAAATAATGTGTAAAAATATGAAAATATCAAGTAATTCAATAAATTATAAAGTAGAAATTCGTATTATATTAAATTTAAGAAGTTTCAATCATGCACAAAACCAATTACAAGGTCTAGAGATTAAAAGAATAGAAGTCACAAAAAAATTTGCACTTGTACAATGAGATAATATTTCTTGGAAGAAGGTGGCGGCGTAAATGGTGGTGGTAGGAAGGAAGAGGATGGTAGGGATGCCGCCGAGATGCTTTAAGGTGAGCGGCGCCCTAGGCTGGAGGAAGTAGGATGGGGTGGAACTACTGATGGGAGTTTTGAGGATGGCATGAGGTGCATTTTGGAAGTTTGTGAGCAAATAATAAGCATTAAGTGCTAGATAAATAAATAGGGAAGATTTAAGTGCCACACAGCAAGGAAAAACTGGTGCACTATCTAGTGCGATTCTGTTGTGAACAGCTGCATTTAGATACGTGATGAAATTTTTGTTGCAGATCCAATTTTCTATCCTTTTCTGATGTAATTCTGTGTCACATCATTCTTTTTTTATTTTTACTACATTATTTGCTGACTTTTTTGGTCACATGATATTACTCATACCGTAGGTGCAAACCATAAGAATGCCCGTGTTCTTGATGGCTCATTTTGATCTTTATGAGCTTATGTTTATTTTAATGGAGGTAAACATGTCATT